ATAATAAATTAAATTCTATAATTAGCGTGTCTCGAAACTTTTATAAATTTGAGGAGTGTTACAGTTTGCTTCTCAATGAACATGAGAGACCAAAATTTGATCAAAGGAACTCATGGCTTGAACAATACTATGGATGAGACCAGAACACGACGCATTGAGAGCACACTTCTACATTCGTCTCTTTCTTTACCAGTTTACAAATCTTTTCAGGTTGTATCACAAACGATCAAGAGTTGTTTGGACAATTTGCCTGGCTTTCCAAGAACACAGATCGGGTTTATAACTTATGACAGTACATTACACTTTTATAATATGAAGGCAAGTGATTTGATGTGGGCGTACTTTTAATATCCTTCTAGTGTATACATTATAAGGTTCTTTTGCTCTTCTGCCAGTCATCCTTCACTCAGCCACAAATGATCGTCATGTCAGATCTGGACGATGTATTTATTCCGTTGCCAGATGATCTCCTTGTCAATTTGTCGGAATCAAGAACTGTGGTAGATGCATTTTTAGACAGCTTGCCTTCAATGTTCCAGGAGAATGTAAATGTGGAATCAGCATTTGGTCCAGCTCTTAAAGCAGCCTTCATGGTTATGGTGCGTGGACTTCTTTCTACCATCTCTGTACATGATTTGCTGATTGAGTTATGTCCTTTGTGCCAGAGAAGTTTGCCGTCCAAATTTAGTCAATCGTAAAATCACCTTTTTTGCCTTATGTTGACTCCATACTGACTAATATCGCTTCTCTGCTTCCAGAGTCAACTTGGTGGTAAATTGCTGATCTTTCAGCACACTCTTCCATCATTAGGTGTTGGCCGCTTAACGCTGCGAGGAGATGATCTTCGTGTTTATGGAACTGACAAGGAGCATACATTGAGAACTCCAGAAGATCCTTTCTATAAACAGATGGCCGCCGATTTCACCAAGTATCAAGTAGCAGTTAATGTATATGGTTTCAACGACAAATATACTGATATAGCTACATTAGGTAGTTGATCTTTCACTGTTACAACATATTGATATATCTATATTAGGTAATTGAACTTCCACTATAACTAGCATCTAAAAAGCTAGAGCGAAAAATCAAAACTTCTTATGAACTGTCTTCTATGATGTAGTCCAACTAGCTTTCTTTCTCGACTTGTCTCTACTTATTTGATTGATTTTTCTGTGTCGCTGCCTAAAACTCAGATATACCATCTATTCCAGACACAAATAGTTTATAATTTTAAGATGTGAACCATTAGTTTTTGCGCCTTCTAATGATTTCCAAATGTTTAAATTCACTTGCCGATGTATGTGAGGCCTTTTAATTAGCCAAATTAAGACCTCAAAGAGAAGTTTGGCGCAGAAGGCTGATTTGGCAACCGTCTTGATAATTTCAATAAACTGTGCTTTTACTTTTAAGTTTTATATAAGTGTAAGTAGCAACAATATCTCTGTAATAAAGACATCCTAAAAAAGCTTCGGTGTCTAAATGTCGTCTTACTTTTTAGTTTACTGAAACCTCTCCTGTTTCTGTGATTGGTTTAGCTTCATTAACTTCTTTGACAATAACTTACATCTCTGTAATTTGTAGTCTTTGATACTCTTTTGTTTGATGTAACCCTTGATGAGATATTGGTATATATTGATTTTCAATTATGTTGTCTAGGGACTCTTGCAAAGTATACAGGTGGTCAGGTATATTACTATCCAAGTTTCCAAGCTGCTGTTCACAAAGAAAAATTACATCATGAGTTAGCCAGAGATCTTACAAGGGAGACTGCTTGGGAGTCTGTCATGCGTATAAGATGTGGAAAAGGTTATCTTACTATAGTACTCCTCGTCTCCTCCCACAAGACACACAAGTTCCATCATTGGACACTAAGTGTTCTTTCCTTTTTCTTTCAGGTGTTCGTTCCACTACGTATCATGGGAACTTCATGCTGAGATCTACTGATCTAATGGCACTTCCAGCTGTTGACTGTGATAAAGCATATGCGATGCAGTTATCGCTTGAGGAAACATTGCTTACATCTCAGACGGTCTATTTCCAAGTAGCCCTATTGTATCCTTTAGCATAATAACTGCTTCTGCGTCATTCTTCAGGGAATTTGAATGCAATTCTAGATTTCCTGTTAGCACTCGTTTTTTTGTAATAAAAAAAAATATAAATAGTGAAAGCATTCTTGTCCTACATCTTGTATATGTTTTAGAAAACAAAGTAACTTACCTTAAGAGAATTTATCTTTCCTCTTGGTTCCATGAAACAATTCTTAACAAATAAAAAAGATACACTTCATCTTCTGGAGAAAGGCGCATTAGGGTGCACACAGCAGCAGCACCTGTGGTCGCAGACTTAGGAGAAATGTATCGCCTGGCTGATACGGGTGCCATTGTTTCTCTTTTTACGAGGCTGGGTACCACTAAAGCTAATATTTTCCTGCATTTGGTTCTTTGACTTTAATACCTGTGGTTTTAGTAGTTTTAGGTGTCTAATTTATGAGGTTATCTTATCTGCAGCTATTGAGAAAGCTCTGACCTCTAAATTGGAGGAGGCTCGAACTTTTATTCAACTCCGGATTGTGAAAGCTCTTAGAGAATATCGAAATCTCCATGCTGTCCAACACTTCCTAGGAGGAAGGATGATATATCCAGAATCTTTAAAATGCTTGCCCTTGTATGGATTAGCATTATGTAAATCGATAGCCTTCCGTGATGGGTATGCTGATGCTCAGCTTGATGAACGCTGCACTGCTGGATATACCATGATGGCTTTGCCTGTTAAAACATTGTTGAAACTTCTTTATCCGCAGTTGATTCGTGTAGATGAATATCTTCTAAAGGTATGTTTCTGTATACCCTTTTGCATTATATCTAGTCATATTTAAGAATTTCTAAAACCTAATCTGCATCACCTTTTTCCAGAAACCATCTTTGGGTGAGGATTCTATAGACATATGGAATGGGCTTCCACTTGCTGCAGGGAGTTTAGATCCTCAAGGTCTCTATCTCTATGACGATGGTTTTCGGTTTGTCTTGTGGTTCGGTAGGATGCTTTCACCTGATATACTTAACAATTTGCTTGGGGAAAACTTTGCTGCTGACTTCTCTAAGGTAAATTTATTGACCACCATAACTGTTGAAAATGTTGAAGTTCTATCTAATTGTTATAATACTAAAGATGAGTTTGATGACTGAAATAAAAGGGCTGCATTTGTTTTGACATAACATTCTTTGACCATGTAAAACATCGGTTTTTTGTCTTCATTATACCATGTTGGCAAGGCTCCTCATTGTACAGAATGAACAAAAAAGCAAGCTTTGGGAATTTCTATCCAACTCTCACTGGCAAATTCAATGTTAATTTTGGTAGGTTAAATGTTCGAATCTGGGCAACTTTTTAATTACTGATTAAAGTATAAATTGTTGAAAATGAAAAAAATATTTTCCGTCTATTTGTTTTAGAGGTTTCATCTGTGAAGCCCATCAAGACCTGTTAAATGGGTCGACCCGACCCGGACACGAACCCGTTGACTCTTCGCCCGTGAGTCCTTAACTAGGTCGGTCCGGTTCACTTTCTTATAGGGGCCGGTCCGGATTTGATCCATTAATCAAAACATGTTGACCCGACCCGACCCAGACCCGTAATCCGTAATCCCTTAACTCTGGCCTAATCCAATTAATTAAAAAAAGTTTAAAACTAATAAACAATAAAAATTTCAAACTTTATACATATATACGAACTTGAAATTACTACATGTCCTTGAAGCGAGTTAGAATATAAATGAAAGAAAAATCATACTTTATTAATATTAAAACTTTAGAAACATATGGAATTCGACTATTTCTATAACTAATAGTCTAAACCATATGGAATTCGACTATTTTGACAAGATGCCTCATAGTGTCTGGTACTATATTCTTCCTTCAACGTGTGTGAGCTGGTCCGGGCCGGTTGACCTGTGGGTCAGCTGCCGGTTCTGGTCCGGTCCGGTTCAGTGGGTCAAAATATTATTGCCCGGCCCAGGCACCTTAAATTAATAGGTTGGTCCGGTTAAGGTTTCGTGGGTCATGGGCCGATTAAAGGGTCAATTTTAATGGGTTATGTGGGACGGTTCGTGGGTCGACCCGGCCCATTTGACAGGTCTAAGCTCATCTACTGAACGCATCTGCATGTGTGGATGCTGTTCTTCTATCTACTTATGACCATATTATCTTTCAGTTTCTTTATTAGCATTAGTCTTCATTTTTCTCTATCCTAACAAACAACTAGAGTGTCATCCTTTCTTTATCAGTTTCAGATTAGTATTCCAGGTCCTATTACTTATATCCTTGTAGTTTCTCATCTATAATCCGTAGATTTGGATTCATTGTAAATTTCACTGGATAAACCCTCTTGAATGTTGAAGAATTTCTTTGGAGGATGCATCTAGGAATTGATAATCGATGATCTAGCTACCATATTTGGCATATTCTAACAGTTAACATTTCGCTTGATAAATCCCCCATAAATGAAAATAAAGAACCGAAACGTCAAGCTCTATGGAGATGGATCTTACATATCCCTTAGGGAACTTACTTTTGTCTTAACTGATGTCTGTTAACAGAAATATGTTGCTTACTTAGAATTTGTAAAACCTTGTTTATTGTTGTGCTTATAGAAAATCTGAGTTTGGTTTCTTAATAGCTTTAACATAGCTTGACAACCTGGGTTATTTAAACCGAATGGCCTCTCTTTTTGTCTTTTTCTTTAATGGCCTTCATTTTTGTCGATAATTTGAGATAAATCTTGCGATCGCCTTATCTAGTATTCTCTAATGTGGTTATTCTTCTTTGTCATTGAGAAACAGGTTTCTCTTCGAGAACTAGATAATGAAATGTCAAGAAAATTGATGGGCTTGCTTAAGAAGTACAGGGAAAGTGACAGCTCATATTATCAATTAAGTTATCTGGTGAGACAAGGTGAACAGCCTAGAGAAGGATACTTCCTGCTTGCAAATCTAATTGAGGATGCAGCTGCTGGTGCAAATGGTTATCTTGATTGGATTATGCAACTTCACCGGCAAGTCCAGCAAAATGCATAATTTAAGGTAATGACAAGGGGCCATTTGCTAGTATTTTATGTGTTCTTGGAAATGACATCTGAACAGATTGCTTACTCTATGTTAATCTAAATGAACCAACACTTGCATGTTACATTTTCAGTTTCTTATACCTCTATGTTCCATAGGGATCTACCAAAAATTTGATAAGAGTTTGGTAGTTCCTAATTCTGATCCATCAACACTTGAAAGCTATCAACAACAATCTAGTAAGCCAGCTCCGTCGCATCTTAACTAGGATCGTTACATACTATGACGTGTCTGTCATAAACCACCAGTCTTGAAAAAAGAAAGTGCTCTCATTTGTTTACCCCATTATTTATTTATTTATTTTAATATTTGTGTTCAGACTCCACTTGTGTGGGATTCCACTGGGTTTTTTTTTTTTTTTTTTTTTTTTTTTTTTTTTTTTTTTTTTTTTTTTTTTTGTTGTGTTCAAATGCACTAGGTCAAGAAATATGAAAGGTGCTCTACTGCATGGGGAGGTAACTTTTATAAAAGGGTGAAATAGATATATGTCTATGCACATAGAAACATCTTGCGTTCTGCTAACTACTAGGGAATATCCTTTTGGTCTGTGTCATGCGGTGCTAGTGTTATTTGTTGATTTCTCCTGCATCAGAAAGCGCAAATTGACATTCTACAGTTCTCTGTCTCCTGTGCCTTTTCCCTTCTTATATTTTAGTTTTAGTTGCATTACATTTAATGTCATTTTTAGAGTGGTAGTGGTGTGAGCTCTTTATTTTGTGGCTGCTTTTGGTGTTTATTGCACAAGTATAATGTGGAAAACGAAGAACAACATAGGTAAAGTACTTAAGAACAGGATAGATAAATACTTCTAACTGCATATTTAAAACTGTGCAGTTTACTTCCTATGACTGGGATTTCACAGAATTAACAAACTTGTTCACCTTTTTCATTTCTAACGAAATTACTTAAGGCGGTAACTTATGGAGAGTGAACCTTATTATAACTTTTACGTGGTTTTTCGTTAATTGATGAGGTGTTATGACCTATTTTTACATGCCAATTATTAAACATTATATCTAGTGATTCTATAAAGTACAAGTCTAAGTTTCGCGGACTCTTCGTTTTTGGTGCCACACCCATCTCGACATGGGATGGGAGCGTGTGCAGGAGCGTGATACGTCCCAGATTCGGTCAACTAACTTCGGATACTTTGCCCTGAGTCCATCGGCAAATTTGGGGGGAAATTAAGATTTTGATTTCTCAAAATTAAATTGTAATACTTTTGTCTCATAGTTGCTGCTTTGTGTTTGAGAAAAACCTTGAATTTAAGGGGTCGTGTTTTGAGTTCGGACTTCTAATAGACAGTAGCAATGATATAGAGTTGGTGGAAGGCCTTGAATGACTTTCTTTTTCTCTTTATAGCTCTTTTTTTTTTTATTTTATAATTTTGAATTTTTTTAGTTAAATTTCCGCACTCGTATCCATACCTGGATCCGCACCCCCGAATCCTAAAATTTAGATTTTGCCAAATCCGACACTCGAATACGTGCCCTATCGGATGCCCGCACCCGAGTCCGAGCAACTTAGGTACAAGTTACTAAATAACAAGCCAATAAGGTTGAATTGACATTTACTGCTTTCGGTTTGACATGACTGACAAATATCTTCTTCTTACACAGTCTCTTATGTGCTTGCAAGTTGCACCATCAATTCCTGGTTACTTCTCTGGTTGCAGATCCCCCATTTTTATCAGTATTCTTTGTTTCCAGTTTTCTTGGTCCACTGAGCTGTCGTTCTCCGAGGACATTGGAAGTGATGATGTGCCCTATTATATATGGTCTGCCGGATGAGCTAAAGCTTTCATGTAAGAAACTCTGCTATTAGTATCGACACTGCTGATTGCTTCATTTACCTGATTTATGGTGTAACATTAACTCGAAGAACTACTAGAGTTTGCTTCTCAAGTTGGAATCATTTCGAAATATGCCTGGACCTGTGGATCCATGATGGAGCATTTTTGAAATATTGGAAGAAGGGAGACCCCAGTTCCTAGCTGTACTGCCTGAGCATGAATGTTTTTTAATTTTTTGGTTTCGTGGTACAGAGTATTATTAGATTGAACATTTGTTGAGTTGATTGTCTTTCCTCTTCTTTTTGGGCGGGATAGAACGTGATTTTGCATGCGTTCCTGGGACCGTTTTACTTAGATGTAGGTAGGTATGAGGTTTTGTACATCGCATCTTAGTTGGGGTAACCCAAAATTTTCCTGCCCAGGAACAATTTTGTATTTGCTTAAGCGAGTAGCGCCATGAAACTTCTGTAAGGAGGAATACGTTACGATATTCAAAATGCCATGAAATTTGTTTTTGTTATGAATAGTTTGTACATTGGATACTACTTTGGATACTACATTAGATACTACATTGGATG